CATTCACCAGTCCACCCATTCATTCACCACAATTGTTAGAGGTGCTGTTGTGGGCACTGATGATGCTAAGGAAATGGGCCAGACACCTCCTCACGTTGGGCACTCCCAGTGCGGGAGAATCAGGTGAACCCTCAGCCTCGCTTGCTGCTCCTCAGCCACACCAGTCTCCTTGCAGTTCCCTGCACACCCTGCTCTCTTGTCTCCGTGCCTTTGCCCCTGATGTTCCATTACATGAAATGCCTTTCTTAATTTGACCGTAACTCCCACTTGTCCTTCCAGACTCAGCTCAGGTGATGCTTCCTCCGGGACACCTTCTTTAACATCCTTCACCCTCCTGGAATTTTCCCTTGCACCCTGTGCTTATCCCCGGTGTGCCAAATACCTCTTAGTTGTACGTGCCTGATGTACCCATCCTCACCAGCCACTGTGCGAGCCTGGGACAAGGACTGTATCTCCAACTATTGAGCATCTGTTATGTGCAAAGCACCGTGGTAGATGCTGGTGATATTAAGACAGACGTATCCTCGCCCTCATGGAACTGACGTTCCAGTGGAGAGAACTGGACAGTAATCAGGAAAGCAGATAAGAGATTTCAGGTAGTAAGTGCTGTGCAAAATACAAAGCAAGAGAAGAAGGAGAATCTAAGGAGAGGGGAGCTCCTACCTGGAGGCCATGGAGGACCTCGCTGAGACAGAGCCCTTAATGAAGTAGGGAAGCAAGATAAGTGAAGATGTGAGAACAGGAGTCCACGCAGAGGGAACAGGCTGGTGTATATGAGCAACAGAAGGCAGGCCGGGGTGGCTGGAGCACGTGGAGCCTGGCAGAGGGGGCCAGAGGTGAGGTGGGTAAGAGAATGGGGGGTTGATCAGGTGGAGCCTCATAGGCCACCATAAGGAGTTTGGATTTTACTCGGTGAGACAGGAAGTCAGTGAAGGGTAGATGAGCCTGTCAGGTGGCAGGATCTGAAGTCAGTTTTAACAGGACCCATTTGGCCGGTGTGGCAAAACTTCTAAGGTGGCAGGCAGCAGAGGGGCCCATGAGATGGCTATTGTTCTACTGCAGATGAGAGATGGTGGAGAATTAATTGGGTGTGATTACCATCAAGGCCTGGGCTAGCTCATGACAGAGACTAAGTGTGAGTGAGGGAAAAGCAACTGTTCAGGGCAGATGCCACCCTGCAGTCTCGCAGCTTAGCAAGTGGAGCGTAGGCTAGATTTCAGCACCTGTCAGCCCTCTGCTGGCACCCTGTGCTGTACCCGCACTGCCCAGCTGTGTGTGGTGGTCCAGGTAGGGATGATGCAAAGTGGATGGATACGAGAGAAATAAAGGGGGACCGACGATTAGGACTGAGATTAGCTCAGGGCAGGAGAGGGTGCTGTTAAGGATAGCATCCTCTCCGCCCCCGCCCCTGACCATTTCTGGCTTGCTAAAGGACCAGGAAGAATCTACACTCACTCCTAGGGCTTATCTCTGAGATTTGTCCCGGGAGGGCAGACTGCTGACAGGTTTCTCCCTTTCATTCATCATTCATTCCACAGCATGTCTGGACTATTTACTATGTGACATTGGGCTTACCTGCAGCTGCCTGCACCCCCCGCATTTTGCCACTGCCCCTCCTTGGGCACAGCTCTTTGGGGGCCAGGACCCAGGACAGGAGGAGAATTGCATGGAAGGCCACCAGGAGCCAGCCTCCAAGGAGAAGCGCAGCTGAGACCTGCCAGGAGGAGAGAGGGGGGGCGGGGTGTTGACTGGGTGGGGGCAGGAGGATGTTCCCCTGCATATTGACCAGCTACTGAGTCCTTATCCCCATTTTACACGTCAGCAAACTGAGGGCCCAGGAGGTAGGGTCATTTGCCTCAGGGCACACAGCTAATTAAGTAGTAGAGCCAGGGTTAAGATCTGGGTGTATAACCACCACACCCGACCTATGTTGACGACCTGCTATACGGCGGCTCACCTTTGTCATTACCGGTTTTGAAGGCTGTATAATTTTCCTTACAGGTACTGGGCTGGGAGTCCTGGCCCACTGCCCCCATTGATGAATTTGGTAATGTGCCTCATAACAGAGACTTCCAACACCTTGGCTGTGGTTTTCCAACCTAGCAGTGCGTAGAGGGTGGCCAGGTAGGCGTATGCAGATTGTACACGGCACAACTCAGACGCACGGGGATCATAGATTTGCATATATTGATTACAGTAATTCTCCAGCAGATGGCAGTTTAGTGTCCTAAAGAAGGGGCCCCTTGTCTTAATTTGTACAAAGGTGCTATATGGGCTGACAGCTGCTTTTAGAATCATCCTGGGTGTTTGCTAAAATGCAAATAGCCAGACCCACCCCACCCCCACCTCCCCCCACCCCGAGTCAGAGGCTCAGGTCGGGGCTGACAGTGGTGGTGCAGAACTTGGCTTTGTTTCGCTCCCGTGGGTTTGACAGTCCCCCTTCCCTCACACCCCAGGTCCCAGTGAATTGATGAGCAGAGGACTCACCTTCCAGGCAAAGTCCGGAATGTCATCCAGGGACCTGAAGATCCCACAGCTCTGGTTCCAGCTGTCACCCTGAGGCCAGGAGCAGTAGGAGAGGACACCAAAGGAGAAGGTGGGCGTCTGGAACCAGGCAGGGGAGAGGAGGCTGAGGGCCGAGATGCAGGTCAGGGAGAGTCCCAGAGCAACCCACACGCTGCCCACCATCGTGGCGTGTCAGTGACCTGGGGGTCAACGAGCAAGATTAGTGGTGGAGACTGTGGGGCAAGGAGAGGAATGGGGCCTTTAAAGGTGCCCCCCACCCCCTTCCCCAAGCCAGGGATGTGGTTCTGTGTTCATACCCCAGGTCATCCAACTCCATTCGACCTCACGATGCAATGGGAGATGCTAACAACTGGTGTGAAGTGGTTTGTCCCAATAAATCATGGAAGTAGGGACCCCAAATCTCCGAATAAATGTTAGTGCTTAGACCTTTGAATAATCCCACCCTGCATTGCACGTCATCATCACTGCTCCATGCAAGGCCCCCTCAGTTCCATTCATTCATTCATTCATTCATTCTCTCTGCCCATCAAGCCTTGCCCTGTCCAAAAGGACTGTTTCTATCTACCCAGAGGGGTCACCTTTTCTACGTCACACAAACATGCTGTGTTTCTAGCAACCACCCTGCCCATTAACCCCTGCCAATCAGTGACCGCTTTAATTATCTAGAGAAGTTAGGGGACTTGCCCAAGATCCACTGGCAAATCAAGGGAGAACTGGAAATAGAAGCCAGTACTCCTGCCCCTGATTTATAGAAAGAAACCCCCCTTCTTCCCCCAGCCATATCCCTACCACTCCTCTTCCCCAAGTTTGTGTCCCCGTGGCTAGATCCGAGAGAGAGAGAGAGAGAGAGAGAGAGAGAGAGAGAGGAGGAGCGGAAGGTGGGGAAGGCATTCATTCATTCATTCTCTCTGCCCATCAAGCCTTGCCCTGTCCAAAAGGACTGTTTCTATCTACCCAGAGGGGTCACCTTTTCTACGTCACACAAACATGCTGTGTTTCTAGCAACCACCCTGCCCATTAACCCCTGCCAATCAGTGACCGCTTTAATTATCTAATGTATGTCTTTTTGTTCAGAGGTATTTTTGCAGGTATCTTTCATTTAAGTAAATGGCATTATTTTAT